AGAATAGACATATTTTGATCTTATAACAGTATTATACATATACATATATCAACAATCTATGATATAGATTTAATATAGTAAAAATACCATCTATAAATTTTAAGAAGCAAAGAATAAATGAATTAATACTTAGCAAATATCTTTAGCATTTTAATAAAATTACACATAACTCAAATGTTTTACTTACATATCCATCTACTTAGATTTTAACAATTATTTCTAAATGGCCCATAAAATGTAAAACATCTGACAAGCTCTAGGTTGTTCCCAAACACTTCATTATTGAGGAAAAATAACGCTCAGTCATTGTAGCCAATACCTAAAAGTTGCATGTGCATGTGCTACTAAAGAACATTATTTTAAAATCTTTGAAAGTTCTTCAGGGGGGACTTTTGAATTTGAATATTTACACTGACCCCAATGAATTATTTTCTAAACAAATATTCATGTAAAAAAAACCAAAATATTCTGGATAATAAAAAAGTCATGTGAATCTGTTACCAATTGATGGCTTCAATGGAAATGTATTCTGGGTGTTGATGTTCTGAAGTATTGGAGAACACACATGGAAAGGGTAGTGGGGATGTACATTTACTGAGGTGGAAAAGACATATGTTCTACAGAGCATAGTGGGCCAGTTAACAGACTCAAAGCATCCATGAAGATAATAGAATGGAGTCTTTTGTAACTGAAATTGCTAGATTGGTTATTCCCTTATGTAAATAAAGGATTGGGAAGGTTATTCTATTAAACATTCATTCAGCTTCGTACCAGATTTAAGCTATCCTATTGATGAAGCACTTGATTTTGAAGAATTGAAAATAGAAATTTTTCACTGGTTCTGTTACTATGGAAGGAAAATGTATAGTCCAGACTCTTGTTTATGATTAGCAAAAAAAAGAAAAGGGTAAACCTAGTAGCAAGTGACAAGCTGCTACATTTATTGATGATCATGGGAAATAGTGCTCAGGGCATTTCCGTGGGTACAAAATATATGGCACAGACAGAGAATAATGCTGGTGTGACAAACAAGCAAAAGCACCACATACGGGTCATAGCACACAGAAGCAGCAAAAGCAGCAGACCCTGATAAAACAAGCTATTTGATTTTAAAAGATATTCACCTCAGCCCAGTTGCCTACCTCTGAATGACTATGACAGGAATGACTGACAAGGTGCAATTTTATCCAAGGTTTTTCAACAATATTCTGGTCCCAGAATTCACTCTGGCATTAATTACATGCATGACATGTAGTACATATTTATGAATGCTTAATGAGGGTGAAAGTTACTGAAGGTTGGGCTAGAAAATACAACACACGTGTGCTCTTGCTAGAGCATCAGAAATCTTGTGGATTCTTGTTATTTTATTTTCTACCTCTCTTAGGATGAAGAAAGAGGAATACTGTAGGATGATGTTTGAAATTAAATGGGTGGAAGAGAGTAACTCTCTCAGAGTCATTGTTTCTAACTAATATTCTTCCCTGGAAGCCCTGGTCCTACAGTCTTTAAGGGCTGTTGAAGGATGAAGTTCTGTCTCCTATGTCTACTTCTGGCTAAATAGGAGCCATACACTTGCCTATGTGCAGTCCAAGAAACCTTTGCTCTAACTTATCTATTAATTCAATGAAGCTGAGTGTTTCCTCTGAGGATGTCCTGATTTGCTATAGATGTGGAAGCAGGTGCTGATCTTGGATTAGGACCATCATCAATTGTTAAATGACTGTCAAACAAAAAGCAACAAATTTGACTAAGAGATTAAGTGTATATAAACTAAATAGTAAGGTTATGAAAAGCATTAATAAAGGGAATATCAAGGTCAGTAATGAAAATCCATGATTCCAGATATTTGACCAAGACTCAGTAATTCACAGATCTTAGATACATCATCAATTAGTATTTGTGCTGTATCTATAACTATTTCAGACTAACTGACATAGTATCTATATTATTCTTTTAGAGACAAATATAACCTCTCTGATTCAGTAATTAGGAGATGTAGTCCCCTATAGTGTTTGTTGGCCATTACCACTAGTAAGTCTATTTGATCTTGAAGGATGGCAATGCTCTGGGCAAGTTGGCTAGGCCATCTTTCAAATTGTTTGGTAGCTGTTGATGGTAAGAGAAAGATGTGATTAGTTTTAAGTTCTTAGGTAAGTTATCACTGTTTTTTCTCTATTAAAGTCATTTTTGATTCTTCAAGGGAATACCAAAAGAAACAGAAAAAAAGAAGTAATGTTATAACTTGGGACAGGGATCTCAAGTGTAGTAAAAAAGAGAGTAGCAAGATTGGCCACACAATTTACATATAAAGAACAAAAATTGTACTTACCTGGTTCAATGGGGTAGTTGGTGTTTTCTTTTCCAAAACTAAGTTTGAGGTAGTCTACTAATTCACACGTGTGTGAGGTTGATTTTCCCTCTTCATTTTCTGATATCTCAAGGGGTTTCGGTGTTACCTTGGAGAGGTGAATCCAGCTATCTGTTCACTGTATCTTAATGGCAGAAAGAGCAATTAATAGGGTTGTATAAGGACCTTTCCATTAGGATGAGTTGGTCCTGGGATCCACCTTACTTATAGGTCTTGATTAGGACCAGATCACCAAGGCTCACATAGAGGTGAAAAATTTTCATAGTCCCTGAGGGTGGAATGATATTACTTCTATATCCCTGTGTGGCCTGTTGGAAAGGCCTCTACCAGTGCAGTAAGTGATGAACTTGAAGCCACTAGAGAGTGGTTTGATAAACTTTGCAAGAGAAGAGGAATCCACAATGTGAAAACATGTCTGAGGCTTCCAGCTCTAACAAGGCTGATGCAGAAGACTATAAGAAACAATTCACAGAATTCATGAAGGCAAAATGATACATCTCTCAAAAAGTGTTCAACTGTGATGAAACTGTGCTCTTTTGGAAGAAGATGCAAACAGAACCTCTGTCATTCAGGAGGAAAATGTACTGCCAGGGCACAAGCCCATGAAAGAATGTTTGACCTTTTTATTGTGGGCAAATGCAAGTGTCAATATGAAGATTAAACTATTATTGGTGTACCATTCTCAGGCCTCTTATGAATTCAAGAAACAAAATGTTAACTAGACGAGACTGCCTCTTGTGTGGAGGGCCAATGCAAAAACATGGGTCTCGAGGCAATTGTTCATGGAATAGAGAGCACTAGGTGTTCAAACATGATTGAGAAATATCTTTCTGAAAACCACCTGCCTGTAAGTAGCTTTCTTATGATTTACAATGACCCAACGCATCGTTCTGCCTTGGTGGATGATATGGATGTTAACTATTACTCCATAAAGGTCAAGTTCCCCACTCTACAACACATGACACTTCTTCTCCAGCAAGTGATCTGCCATTTCTAGAAGTGTACACAAGGGTTCTCTTTCAACAAGTATTTTAATCTCATTGAAGAGAAATCTTTTACTCTCAAAAAGTTCTGTAAGAAACATGTGAATGTACTCAACTGCATCAACCTCATTGACAAAACCTGAGAAGATGTCATATATAAGACCTTGAACTCAGACTGGAGGAAACTGGCCAGAATGTGTCACTGACTGTGACTTTGAAGGATCTTATGCACAGGTAGTGGAGGAGATTATGTCCATGGATAAAAGTATAGGTCTATGCATCAATGGTGAAGACATAGATTAGCTTGGTTTCCCCTAGCACTGTGAGATTTTTCTCTAAAATTTATAACATAACACAATTTTAAGCTGTCCCTTTTCCCTACTCAACTGTCTTCTTTCCTCTACTTCATCAAGGTTATTAAAGACATAACCAGCTACAATGACCAATTGACTTATTTCAGTTTTGTGCACCAGGTTGGAGCTTTGGAGCTTTTTACTAAAATCTTTAGCTGACTGACCAATAAAATAATGCTTTAGGATAACCTTTGTCTAGACCCAGATACTAAATTAGTGTATATTATTGAGTGACTCTTTAATCCAGAGCTGAAAAGTAACTGGATTTTTTTTCAAAGCCTTGACTAACAGATGTGAGCTTATTTAAAAAGTTTAGGCATTCCTTTTGAAATACCCACTAAAATGGATTTAATGTATAACTTTTGTTTGTCTTCTCCATCTCAAATGTTATCATCCCAGTTGGACCCCTCTCGGGACTACAATAGTGCAATAATTGGCTGATTATCAGAGAATGAAGTGGTAAAGTCTTCATTAGCCTCCTTTGAAGCCCTTATGATCCTCTTTCCATTGCTGTTTAACAAGAATCCAGGATGAACTGGACATCTCGTCACATCAGATCTTTTTTGTGGGGGTGGGAACTGGAGATTGAAGTCAGGACCTTGCACTTGTGAGGCAGGCAGTGGAAACACTGAGCTGAATCCCTGGCCTCATATCACATCATATCAAAAGCCATTGCTACTGTATGAAAACCATCAGAAAACTTTTCAGGATCCTCAAAGAATCTATCCAGTTTTTTTTTTTTTTTTTTCACTCCTGAATACTTAACTCGATAGATCTGTGAGAAAGCGTTCAAACAGCAATTCAGGTGAAATGTATGAAGCATAGCCACAAATGGATTGTTTGAATAGGCAGGAGTAGTAGGAAACCTAACAGGCCTATCCCTGAGCCAGTCCCCACTCCATTAATGGGGATCTGACAAGGCATGTCCTGATATTATCCATGACTTTTGGCCCCAGGACCACACTTAGTAAGGATTAGTTCCTTACAATTCAGCCATAGAAGCCTTAGAGTACATCTAAGTTACTTTGAACATGGAACATGATAGGACATGCTCTAGATTTTCCATAACAAATTTCACTTTATGTCAGGTCCTACTACAGTGCTTGGGTACTGAAGAGTCATCCCAGGTCCTGTGATTCTGCACATTTGCCCTAGTTCTTATGATTTTGAGAGATTATAGCCACTTGTTTGAACTGTTTTGCCTCAGACCCCTATTCTACCTCAGATCAACTGGGGTACTGCAACAAAAAAATTTAATAGTAGCCATGAGGATTTAAAATGGCAAAGCTCAGAAGATCTAAAAAGGATTCGAAAGGGCATTGGTGTCCAAAATTGGTCAGTGTAGCTACAACTGAGACACAGATCATGCTTCCATGACAGTAAACATATTACAGTTATGACAATGGGAACTGTACTGATTTGCTAAATTTTGTTTTACAAAAAGAACATCTAAAAAGATCCACAACCTACTGGGGAAATACTGGTACCCCAATAGTTGCCCCCTGATTTGTTATTCAAGAATTATGGCAGTTGTTACTGATTTCAACATGGGCCCAGCTATTTCACAAAATTAGGAAGCAGCACAGCACAGCTGAGAAATGTTAACTGAGACACAAGTTCATGCATAATATAAAACTGTGTGTTTTTTTTCTTATAGACCTAGTACAGAATCTCTCAAGTGGAATAGTTATTTTTGCTGTAAACCATAATTCTTTTAAACAATGGCTAGTAAAATACTATTTTTATGACCCCTTCAACTAATACTAAAAGCAAATTTATGACTATTGCCATATCAGTTTATGAAAAGCTAAACAAATTAAACTTTTAAATAAATGAATGTTCAAACAGCATTAATATGTGTCACACATTAGCTCAATGTTCAACACACTGATTCCTTAAATTCATTAAGACTCTAACAAACTCAAATTTTTTAATTGCATTCCCTTTATGCTCTTTAATTTTTAATAACTTTTGTGAAACTAAAATTTTTTCAGAAAATCAAAATCTGAAATATATTTCTTATTAGTTATCACAGAAAAATACATGTCAATATTTTCAGGACACCTTTGCTATATCTTTCAAAACATTTTCTTAAGTCATGTGATGATAAAGACAGTTGGGTTTGTAATTTCTTAATTATCAACTGCTCTTATTTTAGCTTAATCTGGTACCATCTTACAATACACACACACAAATAGACATGTAGATATTACATGCAATACATGAATATAAATATGTATAAAATGGAGACTTATAGTTATCATTTTCAGCTTTTTAAAAGTACTATCAGCATATTTTTATAGTACCCTGCAATACTCAATATTAAATTTGGCCTCTAAAATTTTTTACTACTGGGCTGGGGTTTTAGCTCAGTGGTGCCACCATCTGCCTTGCAAGTTCAAGGTCCCAAGTTCAATCCCCGGTATGAAAAAGAAATCTTAATACCTACTTCTTTGTCAATTGATGGGCCAAGAATTTAAAATTTTTATTCACTTACAAAAATCCTCAAAAAGTTATGAAGCTCCAAATGCTTACATAATTCTAGATGGTAACGAAACTTGCTGTAATCCAAGGATAATGGTGGCAAAAAGAGGAATAAGATCAAATCAAGAAAGAAAACTAAGGCAAACAAAAGCAAATGAGTACTCCAAACCAACAAAACAATTGCCTGGAAATTTTTTTTACCTCTGAATCTCTGCTAACACCAATTAGTACTCCAAAATGACCTGCAGTACAATACAAATGGTCACAAATGGTAAAGGCACATACCTCACTCAAACGGCACTGATGAATGACCTATTAGTGCAAAATAAAGTGGAGCCTATCAGTTCCTTAAATAACCTTTCCTGTTTTACAACAAAAGTAGCTGAAAGGAGATTCCTGGGTTCAAAAAGTGTTCAAAAAGTGTCCCCAGATGCTCTTGGAATGTCTCTGAAGTCCTGACTATGGCTTCAGCTAGCCAGAAGAATTAAGTCCATTTTCCCAAGTGCCTGCCAGGTTGCATACCTCTCAAGATCAAGGACTTACCTCCTGCTTGACTATGCCAAAATGGCTTCAAGCTTATTAGGTTTATAAGCTTATTTTTGTGTGCTTTCTGCAAACCAAATCCAAGAAGGCCATATATTTCTGAGACATTACAAAAGCCTGTTTGCCTCAAACAAGTATCTAACTTTATAGAGGTAGGTAAGAGTCTTTCATAATAATGAAAAGAGAGGATGGGGCCACAGAGATAAAATGTAAGGAAAAATTTGGATGAGATCTTCCAATGAGTTGTGACCCTTCCCCTACGTTCTCTTAAACTTTTAGTAATACCAATATCCCTAATTCATTGGTCCAGTTCCTGTTTCTAGAATAGACCATTACAGACTAACAGACACACAGCTCCAGAAGAGTAGAAAATCTTAAACACAGGGACCAGTGACAATGGACTAAGACAGATGGCATGATCTCAGAATAGTTTGTAGCAGAATCATTCTCTGCTACCCCTTATAGACACCTCACTTTGTATCAGAGCTGTTGTTCTGGCATCTCAGAGTCATTGGTACTTCTCAGGTCTTTATTTTAAATAAAGCATGTGCTTGCTGAAAGTTTTTCTCACTCTCTTTTCTAGTTCTTACACTTGGTGGTCCATATAGGGATGAGAAGGAGATGATTGTCTTCCTCCTTTCTTCCCTGCTTTCTTCCTCCCCTTAGCAAAGTAGAGGACCCTACTGAACTTCTGGTGCTTCTCTCAGCCCTGAGGACACAACAGTGTAGAGGTTCTGGATGGTGACCATTGAGCATATGGTGTCTTCCATGGACCATCTGACTGGGGAGGGAAAGACATTCTTCTGCATAACTGATTCTTTAGCCTCCTCTCATGGCAAAACTGATGATCTGGGTGCTCATACAGCCTAACGCAGTCCATAGGAATTCATTTCTGGTCTGGAACCTAGTTGAGGGTTTATACTAATCTGCCTGTAGCCAAGAGGCCATCTCAGTGTGCCATTCCCACTGTTTTCTACTTTTGATGCAACATTCCCTATTATTTATCTTTAGGAACTCTTTTCTAAAAACCTGTAATATGAGAGGTAACCATTGCCTTTAATGCTTCTCACATGCCTCATTTTGACACACACAGAACTTGTAAGAGTAGCCCCCTTAGAGTAGTCTCCTTAGCACCCATGGAAGCTCCTGTCAGCTCTTCTGACCCTCATGGATTCACATAACTTCCTAGAATTTCAGGTGGGGTTGTCTACTCACTCACTCAGGAAACAACTTTCTCTGACATAGCTGAGACACATCCATTATATTGAGCCACAAGCCCACTTGCAGAGATTGACAAAAATGCCAAGATTTTATTCAATACATTCTCATTGGTCTAGACAGGGCCTCCATTAAGCATATCAACTTTAAAAAAAACTCCAAAAATCTATCAAGATGCCCAAGAAAATTTGGTGTAGTATATAGCCTGACTCACAGAGACACTAAAAGTTCACACTCACTTAGATCTCTCCTCAGCCAAATAGCAACTTTTTCTCAATAATTATTTCATTTCCCAGACAGCCTCTGACATCAGAAGAATGCTCAAAATATTCAAGGATGATCCTCATACCTCTAGGACCACTACTTTCATTGGCTATAACTGAAAACTTGACAGACAGGTCTCAAAAAAAAAAAAAAAAAACTCCAAAAAATCTTCCCTCTAGCTTCTCACAACAATCCACCCAGTCCAACTACCCAAGCAAAATGCTAATCCCCCTAAAGCTTGATTTCAATGTGGCAAAATGAGGCATCAGACAAAATAACGCCCAAATTAACAGCCCACCATAAATCTTTGTGCCATATGTGGCTTAAAGTGTCACTAAGAGATGGACTGTCACTGCTCCAGCATGGGGTTGGGACTAGCCACTCCCATACCTTGCCATGATGATCTAATGGGACATGCTTTTCTAGATAAAGACTGAGAGGGCTTACAGCACTCACATCTTGAGGTCATTACCACACAAGAGCTTAGGATATTTTTTCTCATCAAAGATAAATCTATCTCAATTATTCTCATGTGGGGACCATTTATTCTTTGTCAACATTCTTGAGATCTACAATTAAATCTGCAGTATCAGTAATAAAAATTGATGACTAGCTTTTTCTTCCCTATATGGCAATACACTTAAATTTTGCACTCTTGGTGATTCCCTAGTGTCTTATTCCCATCCTGGGATAAGACCCCCTTTTTGAGTTCTGGGCAAAAAGAGCCTCAAGCCTCTACACATTGTACCCTTCTCCTTACACCTTACTCCAATCCCTCACCTCCACTCCAGTTTCTGAGAACTTTACACATTTAGTTATACTGACCCTGCCTCAGACCATGCCACTCAACTCACCTACACAGTACTACCTCCACAATTTACAGACATCCCCCACTTATTTGGTTAGGCTTTCCGCTGAAATCTTGACCCAACTCCACTTCTGAACAATAAAGTGCTTCAAGATGTTAATTTGATATTAATTGACACTCCTATTTCTCAAGGGTGTCACACATACACCTCTCACTTCTCAGCCTAGCTGTCTTTCTCTGCCTATGGTTTCTCAACTTGAGCCTTATAGCCAGACTCCTTTATAATGCTTCCACCAAACCTGCAATTTCCTATTCTCTCTGGGTCAAGACATCATTCACAACTGCTTCAAACCTCTCATCATGATCTCAATCACTTTTCCAATAAACACAACTCCCAGTGCAAGGTGCTCTGACTTTTGACACAAACATAAACAAGACCCAATCATTTCCCCCCAAAACATTTCATAACAGACATAACTTCCAGCCCTAACCCAAACTCTTATCCTGGATTCCTCCTATCTTCATCTAAACTTCAAAGGACCCCAGTCACCTAACTCCTTACTTTATTCCAAGATCTCAGCCATTAAACTCCACCATCCCTGGCAAGAAATATCATCACTGACCCTCATCCATAAATGAACTAGTATATAGTATCCCTCTTCTTCTAGGCCCCATTCCTCCAATGCCTTCCCCTAAAAAATTACTCTCAGTCACTTCAAGCAGTTGAAGCCCTCCTATGAGCACAGGTTGACTCTCCTTCCCCAGACTTCACATATACTATTCCTTTCCTCCTTCACCCAAGCCAAGAGGTCCTACTGCAACCCATTACCTACTGTGCTTTCCACCATGCCCTTATTATTTACTAATTTAAAACCCCAAAATATCAGGCCATTCACTGCTTAGTCCCTTCATCTCAATCCCTTAATTTCCTCACTTTATCCTTTTCCTCCTACAAACATTCTTTGCCCCAACATAAACTTCCTTCCCAAAATAATAACTGACCTCTGGATCCAGGATACTTTCCTGGAGTTCATGCCAACCAAAATCAGCTTCTTCATTTTTTACACATAATTTCTATTAGTCTAGCCAACATGTTATATTTT